CAGAGCAGTGAGGGACTGCACAGATGACAGTAGTCCCACAAGATTACAACGGAGCTGAAAAATTCCTAGTGCCTGCTGGGGATAAGGCTGCTGTACCAGGATATAAAAGTACAGCACATGTAATTATGTGTAGTACATAATACTTGATAATGAATGACTGTGCACCTGGTTTATGTATTTACTACACTATTGTACTCTTCCTTATTATAAAGTTTACTGTGAAGCAGTCTTGGGAGTAGCCAGCAGCGGCCTCAGACATCTTCCTTTACTGCATGGAGAGGTCACGGAGAGCGATGACCAACACTATCCAGGTTTGTGTAAGAACCTGACGATGCGTCCGCAGCACGGAGGTCATGTCTCACATCACAGTTCCATCAGTAAGTGACTCACAAGCTCAACCCCTGTAAGTTCAACTTGTTCACTGAACACAGGTGCATGTCCCATAACTCCTGTCCTAAAAGAAAGTGCCCGTTACTTGGTTTGCACCACCCTACCCAGTTTCTGCTGCTCGTCTCATCCACCATCCCTTGAACATCTCAGCCACAGAATCTGCATTCGCTCTCCCCACTTCTTCCTGCTTCATTCATTTTTCTACCCACCACCATCTGGCTCCAAAGGCAAGCACTCCCTTCAAGTGATTTCACTTGGGATCCAATGAGCTAACTGCATATGCCAAAGGATGCTGTCAGGCTTCCTGATGCACCTCCGTGACCCATTCCCTTTCCTTTTACACCCTGGTCCTCCTCCCTCACCAGTCATCCACTCCTTGTGAGTCTCTTCTATAAAGGCTCCGTTCGTTGCATAAATATCACTGTTTTCCCTCTCATTCTCTAATGTAGCTCTGGTAAATCTCATTCTCTCTCTAATTATTTGCAAGCCCTGACCACTTTTCTGGATCGCAGATGCCACTCACCCATCCATTCATTCAATAAATACTGCTGGCATGCCCACCAAGTGCCAGGTGCTCATTGGGCACTGAGGACACATCTGTGATACAAACAGCCATGGCCCTGGCTTCATAAAGCATACAGACTAGCAAGTGACAAAGACAGCTAGCAAAGCTAAGGAGAAATATAGTATGGGGCAGTGGTTGCTGATATAAGCTCCTTAGGAGACTGGATTCATGGCAGATACAAACGTCAAGAAATATATGCAAATCAGTACCCACTGACATCAGCTCAGGGAGTAGGAACTATGGCTTTCATCAAATTGTCACAGAGATCTTTGACTCAAAAATGGTTAAAAAGCACTAGCCTAGAGATAGGTAACTGAAATGATGTCACAGTGGAGTATAATTAAGGCTTAAGAATCAGATTTAAGAAGTTCTCTAAACAGAGGCACAAGTTGGGTGGGTGCTTCACTGACTTTTCCAGGGAAGAAGTGCAGGAGGGGGGCTGTGGACGTGAGCGAAGGCAGGAAGGAAATTTCTACAGTGTCACTGAAGCTCCAGGAAGATGGGGCCATGCTGCGTCTACGGCTCTGAAACACACTTCCCCAAATTTCCCAGTGCCACAGGTGCCCACGACTCCCACGGTGGGAAGGACAGGCTGAGGTTCCCAGGAATGACAGAGACTCCACAGAAACAAGTACACAACAAGATTGAATTCTAGGATCCTCGGAATCCAAATTCAGTCCCAAACAAGTTGTTGAGCCCTCATAGTTTTGGAGAAGAGTAGTTTATTTTGCACTTTGAAAAGTCTGGAAATTTCACAGAATTCTAGCTTTATAGCTTCTCTTAAAATTCATAGGACCAGATCATGTTGGTGATCCCAGAGCCATCATGTAGGACTGGTGGCTGTGGCTCCCTTGGATGAGACATGTGTTTTTCAATTCCCCCAACTCCAACCCTCACACTTGGCCCTGGCCTTCTTCAACAGTACCTAAGAACTCAGTACATCTAAAACTCTGGTGCAGATCAATGAGAGTAGAGGACAAACAGAAACCTTGTAAAATAGCTATTTACCAGGCAGGAGGGAAAAAAAAAAAAAAATATATATATATATATATATATATATATATATATATATAGAGAGAGAGAGAGAGAGAGAGAGAGAGAGAGAGAGAGAGAAATGGGGAAAGAACTAAAATAAGAAGAACCTAAATTCCTCAATGGAAAAAGCCCTATATTTTATGTTGCCTACAGGGAAATCTAGTACCCAAGACACATCTAACATAGTATCATTTGGATTATGAAAAAGTTCTCTTCATCTCACACTTTACCAAAGTAAAATAATAGCAATTAAAATTTTGGCATCATGGATAGAAGGAAAAATCGTGCCTGAATGATTAAGAAACCACATTATATCTGCTTAGTAACATCGGAAAGGACACTAATATTTCTTTCCTGCAAATAAATATCCCCATCAACTATTAACAAATTAGGCATTTGCAAAGTTAAGATACATTAAAAGGAGATCATTGATATTTGATTGTTTTGTACGTTAGAGATGCATGTACTATTAATGATGCATGATCACAACCATTTTCTTGAGTCTTTTTAAAGTGCATATTAATCATTTGCTAATGATAGCACGATTCATGTAATAGAAGCCCGTGTTTCACTTAGCATTTTTCTTACTTGGAGACAGCCATTATGGATGCTGGCTGGGCATTCCAAAGCAATGCTTTCTCTCTATTGCTAGTATTTTCATTCTCCTATCTGTCATGGCTGCAGGCTAGCCTCTTTGTAAACATCAGGGAGGACATGGGAGCAAGTATTATTTGGACAAAACAGGAAACCTCTTTAAGTCCATCATTTGAATTTCATCCCTGTAATATATAAAGCTCAATAGGTCTTCTAGTACTCACCATTAAAGCATAAACAGCCCTGAAGGTAACATCTTGGCTTTCAATGCTGTAGTGATGAGTCTATGTTATAAATTACAGATAGCCACGCTGGCCCTGCAGCATTTCCTAAATGATACAGGTAGGAATAGAGCTAAAGAAGGCTTCAGCAGAAAAAAGAATCAAAGATGTTTCCTGGTATGAACATTCACCCACAATGGCTTTATTCCCATGCAACTTTGCAGCTTTCAGTTTGTGCAGGACAAACAAGGCCCAGAGTTCCTGGGTGCCTCGGATTGTACCCAACATAACATAAAGGAGAGCATTGTTTGAAGATCTTGTCTCCTTGGGTTGAGACTTGATTTAGCCCCAAGGGGAATAACAGCCATCCGAAATGAACAAAGAAGACATTTTTGAGACAGTGACAGTCCAAAGAAATCCCTAAAGGAAACAGTGGTAAGTATCATACTCACTATAGTTCTCTGCACCCTAGGAGTAGCTTTTGTGTGCATAAAAGGTATCCAAACTTTCACCCAGCATAAATGCCACACTCTCCGTGACACTACTGGTCTTCTCACTTGAAAGCGTAACTCTTTATGTATCTACTTCACAATAAATCCTATGACCCTTCAGCATGGTTGCCTATAAGTGAATTGTTTCTCCAGAGCACAAAGAGCCAAGCATGAAGGAAGGAGTGAGGAGCTGGTTCTTCAGTGTACCAGGGCCCAACTCCCTGGTGACAGCAAACATCAAAATTATCCAAGATTCCAACTGTCACACACAACAGTCCCCACTAATCCAAGCGGTATATTTTCCAGGACCTCAGGGAATGCCTGAAACTCTGGAGAGTACCTAACCTTATATATATTATATTGTTTCCTATACATACACATATTAAAGTTCAATGTATTACATTAACAAGGTACAATAGAAAAGTTTAATGCATATATAGATTAGGCATATTAAGGGGTTAACACTAACAATAAAATAAAACAACCATAAATTTAGCATACTAAGTTATATAAAATTTATAAATTGTCTATTCTAGAATGTACTGATAAATAGTTCTGGGCATTGGGTGTCTCAGGGTAACAGAACCTACAGAAGTGAAGTTGTGTATAAGGGGGTAACTGTACTGTTGAGAATAGTAATAGTTGAGAGGAATAAAGAAGTATGAAACTTCCATTATGACTGTGTGTTTCCATCTGAGGTTCCCTGCAAAGCCTCATGTGCTCAGAGGTGAGGCTCGTGGAAGGTGACTGGGTTATGGGGTACTAAGGCTGACTTGCTTTTAGGAGGTGGGGTTTTGTTAGAAGAGGAGTGTTATGGTTTTTGTCTGAATGTTCCCCCAAAGCCTCATGCAGTCATGGAGTTTTGTTTGTCAAAGGCAGCTGAATCTAGAGTGTGTGGTTGATTCACTGTCTAGTGCTGGGATTATGGGTGTGAGTGCTACACCCACCCCTGAGGTGGATGGCCTACAGACAATACAAGGGGCAGAAACAGTCTTCTCTCCTGCTCCTCCCTTTTTGCTCTTGTTGCTTCTGCTGTCTTCCAGCCACCATGAACTGTTCCTCTCTGCCATGTCACCCTGCCTTGGAGCCAGCTGAGTATGGACTGAAACCTCTACAAATAGATCAATAAACTTTTCCTTCATTCATCTTTGGGCATCAGATATTTTGCCTCAGCAACAAGAGAAAAGTAATTAAGACAAGCTGGGTCACTGGGACATCACTTAGAAGGGTACCCCTCCCTCCCTGGCTCCTCCATTCTCTGCTTTCTGAGGACCACAATGTGAGCAGCTCCCTTCCACCATGCTGTTTTCGCCTTGAAGACAGCTGACCATGGATTGAAACTCCAAGCTAAAATAAACCTTTCCTCCTTTAAATTGTGAGTGTCCCTGCCTAACAATTACAAGGTCATCAGTTCAATCCCTGACACCAATAAACAAACAAACAAATAAATAGATAAATAAATTGTGAGTATCAAGTAACAAGAAAGTGACTAAGATACTATGAAAGCTGTGCTTGAAAACTAACTAGAGAAATGAAAGGAAACAAAATGAAATGCTCCCACTCAGCAAGAAAATGATGATCTCAAGAGGCCCATGTGCATACTGCTGTGCCAGCCCAGGGCAGAATTTCCCAGCATCCTCCACAGCTTCTTATTACCCTCGGATCTGGGGACCTACTGGCCACCAGCACTCACTGGCCACATACCTGATGGGGAGAGAAGGGTCTCCGGCATCCCACCAGTCTTTTGGGGGACTGATGTACATGCACCACAGCTCCCAGCTGTACCCGTGGGCTGAGTTCTCATACCGTTGTACCTCAAAGTTATCCTGCTTGATGTTGTCAATGGAGGGGAGGATCACCCGCTTCCGGTTCTCCTGGATGCGGGATAGAACAGGCTCAGCCCTGCAACACAGAAAAAGTGAGATAAACTCTCTCTTCTGTGGACTACCAGGAATGAGGAGAAGCAATGTAGCTGGGTTTTGGACAGACTGGACCACAGATGGAAACTGAGGTTCCACAAGCCAGTGACCTGCCCAATGGCTTTGACGTGCATAACATTGCCAATGTTGGAATTACTACCAGGATGAGTACATTAGCACGGGAAACCCGGAAAGAGAACTCAAAACTCAGGGTCTCCTCCCCAGGAAGTGCCAAGCCTCTCTTTTGTGGTGGCAGGGTGCTGGTCCTATATGATTTACATCAAGCTGCAGTTATATACAGTGTCATAGATCTGCTTTAGGTCAATGTCTGCCACCTCTTGTTGTTTTTTTTTTTTTTTTTTCTTTCTTTCTTTCTTTCCCTGCTTGGCTCTAATTCCTTTTCCCAAAATAGGTCATTTCTTCCCTGGATGGCTTGGTTTGAATGAGCATTTTACTAGCTTCTTTGTGTAAGTGACTATTTCAGTTGTTTTAATTGATTATTTAATTGATTTCTTAAAAGGAATCTAATTGAATCGGTTAGCAATGGAAAGCCTGGAACTAATTAAATGCCAAGGCAGGCATAATCCTGCCTCCCTGCTGCCTCCCCCTCAGGACTGCAGGAGGGTTTAGTCAGGGATCTGGCTCCAAGTTCAAGGTGGAGCTGCTCGTTGAGGAAGAAGCAGATGGTCAGACACCTCCTCCAGCGTGGGTCTCTGAGGCAGGCACAGGAAGGGATTGTTTCCCATATTTGGGAAGGAAAAGATGGCTCTCAGAAGCCAGAGCATTAATCTCCCAGCTTAGACCAGAGCGCAGGCTTTGAAAAAGAGTCAAGTGAAAATCCCATTCCTCTGCATTATATGGAAGAATAATGAGAACACTCAGGCTACAACTGATCTCTTTTCATTTGCAGCTATTGAATTACCTGTTGGCTCGTCTCATCTTTCTATTTAAAATGAGCAATAAAATATATGCCAGGCCATTTAATGCCTTCAGTATTCTGTGCACCCCACACAGGCTGAAGCCAACTGGAACCAACCCCGCTCCACGGCTTCTAGGTGTCCTTTCCTGCTTGCAGAAAGCCTGGCTATCACAGAGGCTTAGATCAAATGTCATCTCTCCCTAGAATCCCCCGTTTCCTGCCAGTTTCCCCCAGTAGGAAGGTCTTTTCCTTCCTCTCCATTCTTACACGGTTATCTCCACTTCTCTGAAGTTGCAATGCCTCTGCCAGTTGCCCTTACTCATTTTGAGCTGCTGTTTACCAAGCACTTCCACAGAGCAGGCACCATTCTGAATGTCATATGTGTGATGGTTAAAGCAAACTCTACAAGGGGGATACTGTGGTCATCACTGTACAAATGAATAAACTGAGGCCTAGAAGGGTTAAGGGTATTGTCTTGGGCCACATGGTCAGCTGGTGACAGAGTCAGGTTAAGCCTGAAGCTCCTCTGCATCTTTGAATGGGCCATGCATCCCCCTGGATGGCTGGGTACCACAGACGGAAGCCTCCAGGTCAGCCCATGAGTGAAAGTGAGCTACTGAGGGCGGAGGCAGAGTCTTTGGTTCAAACAGTGCTTCTGTGGCTGAGAAGTTGGTCTGACTCTTTATGACTCTTCGCAGTTATCTGCTCTCCTCCCTGGTAGCATTCTGCCGATTACCATGTGGCCTTTGTGCTTCCATGGAAGAGAACATCCTCTTCCTCAGTGTCCAACTAACAGGAGCTTGGAGCCAGGTGCAGTGACACATACCTAGAATCCCAGTACTCTGGGAAACTGAGTCAGGAGGATCATGGTTTGAGCCCAGCCTGGACAAGTTAGTGACATAGTGAGAACATGTCTCAAGATATTTTTTTAAAAGGCAGATCCTAGATGTGAGCAGAAATGACAGTCACAGCTGAGAGGGCTTTAACGGCCACTGCAAAGTTTGGCAGGTAGATCTTTTTCATGAGTGACCAAGAGGAGGACTCCTTAAGTGGCAGGACCAAAGAACATCCCAAACAGAGTGACAGACAGAAAAGCCACAGCAGACAGTCCACACAGACAGGGAAGAAACGATCGGGGTCCCTGAGACTGGGGATCATTACAGCCACGTAACCTTACAGCACCATGTAACCTTCTATCTAGTAAAGTGAGGCACATCGTGTAATAAAGAACTATGAAAGGGTTTGAATTCAGAAAGGCACACATACGATGTGACTGTTAATCCTGATTTAGAGGCTTCACTGGATTAAGAAACAAATGCCCAGCAGTTAGTAAAGCACAGAGTGTGTGCAGAGAGTACCTTGGGCTCTATATCTGGTCCCTGCCCCTTTCTCTCTGGCACTGTTCCCTTGTTGTTTCCTGCCTGCTGGGAACTGAGCAGCTCTGCTCCTCCGTGCTGCTTCTCGCTTGGAACCAGTGGGTTACAGTGCAAATGTGAGGCAAGTTCCTCCTTGAAGTTGTGAGTGTCAGGCATAGTGTCCAGCAATGAGAAAATCAACCAATACAGTCATGCTGATAGAAGTGTGGAAAATGAATCTGAGTGGCTAAGACAGGCCACGGAGACCATGGCCAGACAGAGACTAGACTAGACTGCCTCCAGGGAACACTCAACCATCACTCCCAGGAAACAGAACAAGCAAACTGTTCCACCGGAACAATGAAAAATGTTGTTCCCTTACGGAGAACCATCTTGAGTTCTCATTACCATGTCGCATTTGCTGGGAGATGATGTTTGTGGCAGTGGCAGTGATGATAAGGGGCTGAATGCACAGCAGATAAACATTTTCCAGCCTCTCAGTTCTATCCCAGACAATGGTCTCAGCTTTAATCAACCCTTATTCATTCTTCCAGGGGCCCCAAAGAACCAGGCAAAGTATCTCCTCTCCCAGATTCTAGCATCTTCTGGTCACAATGCAGACCCCAAGTGTCCCCAAGCTGCAGCGTGTGACCTACCAGCCTGCGGTGAATTCCACATGCGCATCGAAGAAGCCAGTGACCTGGCCCGTGGCCGCCTTCCAGCCTTCGATGCGTGCTCGGATCAGGCCCTCTCTCTTCTGGTTGCGCACCACCTTCACCAGCCCGGGGTAGCGTTTGTGGACGTATTCCTCCAACGGCGCCTTCAGCTCCTCTGCAAAGGACGAGAGGCAAGAAGTCCATAAACAGGCATCTCAGATTTGTACCCCACCCATGGAGATGCCTACGGGTCCTCAGGAAATCAGCTATTGAGAAAAGGGTTTGCATGTCAGTAATTTGAGTAGAAAAGATAACCCAGGCAGCCTGGGAGACAGAAGACACGGCTCATCTTGGATGCCTACATTCTGATGGGTACACTGCTGGACAGAAAGGAGGCCTAGCTTTTATGTTTCAGTCACTCCAGGTTGGCAGATGTCCTTTGAGATGTCAGTCTTTGTGGCTCTTCCTACTTTCTTAGCTAGGCTTCCTGTCCTCTCATGGTCCCTAGTTCCCGCTTCTCAATTTCTAAACGGGCTGTTCCTTGTGCACACAGATGCTTCTTACAGCATGTGTCGGGGGGAGGGGGAACCCAGACTCATGGTCATGCACCAGCCCTAACGTTAACAGGGCCCTTGCTGGTCTTAAGATGCAAAAGAAGTCTTTTCCCAGTAGTAGAAATGATACCTTGGTTGCAGAATCAATGCCCTTGAGGATTGTACACCTGCTTTCTGCAATAAGCGGGTGCCAAAATGCATTATTTCTGTCATCTAATTTAGTCCTTATACCAATTTAGAAGATTGCTGGATTAATTCCATTAACTAGTGATTTAACTCAATTTTGTACATAAGATGCCAATTAAGGGAAGCTCATCTGTCCCAAGGTCAAACCTAGGAATGGAACAGTTGAAAAAGAACCCAACTGCATCTGTATCCACAGATGAGAAAGTTGATACCTGCGTGGACATAAGACTCACCAGGCAGAGGGAGGATGGGGGAAGGGCTGACAGAGAAGGGAGTTACACAGGCACATTCCAAGCATCTGCCCTTGGGCATTCTTGGTATGATTCACATCCTGAAACAGCCTAATGATCCACAGACAAAACTTTAAGAAACACTTCAGCCTTTGGCTTTGCTGTAGGGAATGCTAAAAGACTGAATTGCAGCTTAGATTTAAAATGTCCCCTAAAGTCTCCTGTGTCTGAAAGGTGACTGGACCATGAGAATGCAATATTCAATTAGTGAGTCCAATAGCTGAATGTGCTTTTAGGAGGTGGGCCTGGTTAGAAGAGGTGGGTCACCTGGAAGCTAGTATCACTGTCCCCAGCTCCTCCCATCTCTCTTAGGTTTCTGGCTGCCATGGATTGAGTAGCTTCCACTATGTTTTTCTGCTTTGGAGTCAGCCAACCATGTACTGAACTTACTGAAACCATAAGCCAAATAAACATCTGCTTATTTACAGGTGTCAGATTCTTGTCCTAGCCATAGCAAAGCTGACTAATAATGGCTGTATTATCAGACATTGGGCAGATCCTTCACTCCTTAGACACACAGGGTAGCTTTTGCTAACTCAAAGCCAAGCATTTGCAGTGTATGTAGAGACTGACCTTTGTATCACAGAGGGAATGAGACAGGCATGTGACTCAGGAAGAAAGGCATGGTGTGTTTGAATGAATGGGGGTAAGAAGAGTCCAAAGCATAGGGAGATATGGAAGCTACTGTAAGTCAAAGGCATGGATGATGGGGGTTATGGATGGAATTATTTGTCCCAAAAATGATCAGTTAAGTTTCTAACCCCTGACATATCTGAATGTGAGTGCATTTGGAGATAAAGCCTTTAAGAGCACAAGTAGGTTAAATGTGGTCACCAGAGTGACCTAATCTAAGCTGGTATCTTTAGAAAGGAAAATTTGTCACACAAAGAGATACTGGACATTCATGTGCAGAGGGATGACCATGGGAAGGGCTAGCAATAAGGGCTCATTTGAAGGCCAAAGAGAGAGGCCATGCTTGCAACAGCTTAATCTTGAACTCCCAGTCTCCAGAACGATGAGAAATTGAGTGTCTGCGGTGTAAGCCACTTGGTCCATGGTATCTGTTGGGATAACTGAGACAACTAATTGAGAGACCGTCAATAGACAGATGTTACCATCCTCAAGGAGGAAGATGGAACCTGGAAACAGAGGGAGTACAACCTTTGACCGCCAGGAGATCCAGCATACAACTGATATTGAAGCTGGAGTCAGCCTTGGACTCAGATCCAAATGCCACCATGAGTGACCCTGGATAAGTCAAACAATTTGTTCCTCATCTAAAGAAGGGTCATAGTAATGATCATAACAATGATCATCTTATTCTCAGAGAGTGACTGTGAGAATTACATGAGCTGACACAGAGCAAATGCTCCAAATCATCTTGTCAATAGCATAAATGCTCAAAACGGACTAGCTAGTATTGATGAGCACCTCCTTCTCCTTTCTCTCCATAGAAAGGCCAGGCCAGAGATTTCAAAGCAGCCCTGGGAGCCTGAGAAAGCCACTCTCAAGGTGACAAAAATAGGCTCAAAAAAGCCACAGTTGTGGTTATCCTACTGTAAATCGTATCAGCATTCACCAGAAATGTTGCTGGTCCTCCCCCCAGTTTCATTTTCAGTAGGGCTAAGGTAGAGATGGGGTTTTATGTTTACATCGTGAGTCTGGGGGTTCTGAGGCTTTCCTATGAGGAACACACTTTAAGAACCAATGAGTTCAAAATGCACATGGCAGCCTTTGCAGTGCTTGAAATATAATGAATAAACAGTAAAAGTTATGGTTGGCATTTTTGCCTGTAATGGTCTTGTTTACCCTCATCCCAGAGGTGTTAAAGAGCCAATGGAGAAACTGGGTTGTGAAGAGTCCACTCACTTTGTGAGAAGGAGAGCCAAGCAGTGGAGCCCAGTGGATTTTTTGCTTCTAAAATCCATCTACTGACTTCATGTTAGGTAGGTTCAGTAAGCAATAATGTGAGGAAGCAAGTTGGTTCTATGGTTTGGATGTGGTCTGTTTCCACCAAAACTCTCGCTGAGGGCTGATTCCTCCATGTGGCAGCATCAGGAGGTGACACTTTCAAGAGGCAAACAGGTCACAGGTGAATGGATTAACATCTTAAGAGACTGCGTTAGGTCTCACTGGAGTGAGTTGGCTCTCCAAAGCCTGGCTTAGTTGCCATAGCAGCACGCTGTTATAAAGTAAGATCACTCCTAAAATGTTGGCTTGTCTGTATATACCTGATCACCATGGTTGTACATATTCCCACCCTGTGACATTACGTGCCAGATGTAACTGTCTGATCTTGAACTCTCCTGCCTCTGGAACTGTGAGCCTCTGGAACAAGCCTCTCCTTCATGACTTACCCAGCCTCAAGCATTTTGTTAGAGCAGCACAAAACAGAGTTGGACACTTGGCCAGGTCATTCCTGCTTGGATTTTCATTTATTCCTGTGAGTGCTGTGTGGATGAGCTAGTAAAGGGCCAAGGAATGGTAGTGTAGCTGTGGGTCACTATGGCAGCAACTCTCCCACTCACTAGAGTTGGCGCGTGCTGGTGGGAATCTCCATAAGCTCAGGGGAGATGTGCTGTACAGTGAGGGCACAGCATCATGCCCAGGGTCACCTGCAGGCACCATCAGCCCTCAACTGCCAGGCAAGCTCTGGAGCTCTGCTCAGGAACTGGATGCCAGCTTCTGGCTATGTCAGGTACCAGGTCTAAGTCAACAGTGATTTCCTATTTTATTAAATGGTAGCAACTGAGGCTTTGGGAATGTGAAAAGGGTAAAAATTTATGACATTGGACAAAGATGGTACTTTTTCACATCTTAAAGCTACTGAAATATGGATACTAATGGCTTTTAAAAGTATAAAAGGATGAAAGGATAATGCTCCATCATTTGGCACGAACTTCATGGCTATTTGGAGTAAATGAGGAGTTATATTTAAAGCCCTTATTATGTACCCAATAAAAGTTATTTCTAATAATGGGACTATTATTTTTAATATTGTAGATTCATTTTATAACTTCCCACAAGCCATAGCTTGTCTTCCTTTCTAGTCAATATTGGTTTAAAATCTGGGAAGTGCTTTTTCCCAGATAGAGAATGGGAGACACCACTCTCATTTTTATAAAGTTCAGGGCACAAGTGAAGCGATAGCCCAGGAGGTGTTGTGGGGACACTGAGGGAGATGCTACACCCCAACTAGCAGAAGTCAAGAGCACATGGCACTAGATTCTAGATTCCAGAAAGCATGAGGTTGTACCCTTGCCAAACAAAAAATAATTCAGACACCAGTGTTCCCTCAAGATACTGCAATCTACTTCAGGAGATGAGACATGTTAAAAATTGTTTGTATTCAACATTGCCAAGTAAATGAAGCTAAGGGACCAAGAAAAATGGCCACATGGGAAAATGCTATAGTGAGCAACAGAAGCAGGCAGCATTTTGACTGCAAGAGGTCCAAGAGGAGGGGTCTGTGTGAAGCTGTGCACCATCACACACACACACACACACACACACACACAGAGAGAGAGAGAGAGAGAGAGAGAGAGAGAGAGAGAGAAGCAAAACATTGCATTCACTTAGGTGAAAAAAATCAAAGTCATCAAAGTTTTGGTCTAGGCAACTAGGATGATGCCGTTAATTTAAAAGAGAAAAGGAAGAGCAAGAATAAGTTGATGAGATTATTCGAGGACAGGCTGAAGTGTCAGTGGATGTTTATGGGTGGACAGGTGAAGCAGAGCAGTGGTCCAAGAAAGGACAGTATCAGGGACAGAGTGATGAGAGATCATGGCGGATGATGGTGACAGTTCCAGGGATGGGATGAAGGAGACTTTGAGCTACACCTTGAGAACACATACATTTAGAAGCACGAAAAGGGGGTAGAAATCCACACGAGCTAAGAACAGCTTCATAGGAGCACAAAACAAAGAGCCGAGTTTCTGAGATGAGGATGTGTGCACTGATTTTACATCCACCCACAGAGATCCTACATGGATGTGAAGGACGAAGGTCCTGTCCTCAGAGTGCTACCCAACAGCCAGTCTCAATTCTCTTTTTTAGACTAATGACATCTTCCTACTTGCATTACTGAAAATGAGAGCTGAGAACAGGCCACTGACCTAGAAGATCAGAAGTTTCCTGATGGCACC